AAGTGCTACAAAAGTTGCTGAGGAGAGTTTTGTACTGCTGTATGTGCACAGGGAGTCTTTGCTATCAAGGCACACGCAAAAGCCCAGACCCCTTTGTACATGTCAAAAGTAGATAAGAATCCTGCCTTCAAAATGCACCAGTAGATATATACCTAGATCTTTTATTAAAGTTAGGACATAAATCTGATGAAAGAGAAATCTGTCCTACAAATTGAGAAGCAACACAGGTCAGATTTACACCAGTCTGTTCCTCCCTAACCTCTGGTCATTAGTTCCTAACTGTCCCTGTGTCTTATCTATCTAGATTTTTGTGAAGAGTAACACTGCTTTCATCCAGTGAGAGATGTGGAAAATAGATTTAATAACTAATCTACCTTAAGTAACTTTGTACTTTTTTGTATTATGCGTGATATGGATATTTGTTCAAAGGGAGGTGTATATGATGTAATATCACCCTAAAGCCACACCTTCTGATAGCCTTTCTTCTTCTAATCTAAGATATGAGATTATTAGCGATAACTATTTGGTTGCCTTTTTTTCTTACTGGCCCTGTTCCTGTTTTCTAAATACCAGTTGAAATGCAGATACATAGCAAATGTTTTTCTAGTGTTGAGGAAGAAAACTAAGGCTGCTCAGTGGCTTCAGACTAGAGGATATTAAAAGGTTTAGGAATAGGTCTAAGAAAAATTAGAAGAAAGCCCTTTTACTCAGGGCCATTTCATACATGAAACATTTCCTTCAGAGATATTTCCAGATCACTTATAACCTTCAGATCAAGAAGAACAATAACAATGTTTGAAATAATTTTACAGAAAGTTTATAGGAGACTTTTAAAGTCCACTGGATAACTGGAAGAATTCCATAAATGAAAGGCCATTATCAAAAAGATCCTGATATTTACAACTCAAGGTACATCTGGAAGATACTATCTGGATTCATTTCAACCCAGCTTTAGATCAGGATATGAAGCCAAGATGATTTAGTCACCTTTAATGAATGTGAATTAGACAGGAGTAAGGTGGCCTGACTAGCTTTCATGGGCCTCTCTACTCTGTGGATTGAAGTTAGCAAGTTTGGAACAATGAGCTTGGACTGGACTGGAGTAGTTGGTAAGTAAAAGCCAGGTGAAACCAATCAACCAGAACAACAGCCAGCATGAGAAGCAGAATGCAAGCAGCCTCCTACAACAGCGCGAAAACTTTGGGCTGTGCATGCATACACACACACACACACATACATACACACACACACACTGTACTGGATTCTTAGCCTGTTAGAAGTTGCTATTGTAATTAGGTTGTCAGTAACAGCAAGTATCTTATCAATTCTTTCTGAGACCTTGAATTCCAATGAAAATGCCAAATTCCAGGAAAGGAATACTCCACAGCCCTAAGGATAACCTTAGATATCTATGGTGTTGACACTATTAACTATGATGCTTTCCACAGCGATTACAGCTTTGGGGTTGTATCCAGAAAAATGTGCTGCAGAACTATCATTCAGTTCTCAGGACATTGTCCTGTGATGTCCTGCAGGGTTCCACATTATCTTCCATGCTGTTTAATATCTGCATGGAAGTGCTGTTGAGTCTTCAATATGCTGATGACATCCAAGTCTATTGCTTCTTGTCATGCCGTGTCAAAACAGCAGCTAATCTCTTGATTGGTATTTAAGATCAATATTGTGCTGAACAAGCTGTAGATGTTATCAATCAGTAGAAAATTGTGCTTGGGAATTGACAGTCTAGTATCAGTGAGGTCACACTCCCATGAAAACGTGGTCTTTCGAACCTCTGCCTGAATTTAGAGGTAGTGGCAGGGAATGAGTTTGCATACACTGTCCAGTGCACTAATTGCAAATGTTTCTGAGATTGTGAAATCTGACTTTGGTCGGCTATCTCCTGGCTTCATCATGAATAAACTGCATTAAACTCTGGACACTTGAAGAGTATTCAGAAGCTTTGACTGGTGAAAATGTAACAGCAAAGCTGTTAACCAGTGCACAGTTTCTAGATACTATGTTTGGTTTAAAAAATCTGCAATGAATTCCAAATATTTTCTGTGTGCAGTTAAAAATATTAATTGTAACTTTTAAACTTTGAATAGCTTAAGGTCTAATTAAACTATAAATGGGTTAAGATATGATAGGTACACCTATCTCAATATGGGTTGGTCTCTCTGCCAGAAGATGTCCTCCTAAAATGTTCCCTGTTTCAGCAGCCCAGTCATTGAACACGTGGGAGAGAATCTTCTGCTTCATGCCCGAGCTGGGAAGTACATTCTCTTGGGAGTTGTACTTAGCCCCCATTCTCTCCTTTAGAAAAGGATTCTAAGGAGACTTCCACATTTTCTTTCTACACCACCAGCTTCACCATCCAAATGAATAGCACGTTCTCATGCTGCCATCCCAGCTTCTGTAAGCCTACTTGAGCTAATCGATGCTTCCTCCAGTCAATGCTACCTCCAGCCAGCCAATGGGTGAATTTTCAAATCGTTCTTCATGGCTTTTCATGGTGTTCACAATGGCTTTGTGTGTGTGTGTGTGTGTGTGTGTGTGTGAAGGAAGCCAGCTATTATCTGGGGGGAGCAGTAAAACCACCTTTTAGTTTGGTTGGGAAGAACACAGGAAGAAAGCAACATGTTATGACGCCTTGTCTCTTACAGGGCAGGTAGGAGTCAAAGAGATAGGATGAGGTAGGATTTCTTAACAACAGGAAATCATTCCACCCTGCAGTTCCAGAGAAAGTGTTGTGAAACATTTATTACATTGTTTGCTCTGGAGCAGGCACCAAGCAGATTAACTTGCAAAATTAATCTGGCTTTTCTGCATGGCATGTTGGAGACATATAAGGGCAGTGTCACTTTCAGATTGGAGATCTCTTGTGTGTGGAAGGGGTCTACATCTAACTTTTCATTCAGGCTTATTATGATTTTATGTCTTCATTATGAATGTTTCAATTGAATTTTAAGAGTCTTATATTATTTTGCATTTTTATGCTAGTTGCCTTGAGTGCCATGGAGATTGTTACATATAAACAGGGAGCAACCCCACACTCGCTAGCACTGAGGATGTTACCTAGTCAGGTAATGAAATGTCTGCAAGCAAACAACCAAGCTTGGAGAGCCCTAAGGACGCCACAGATCAACTGTGAGCTACACGTATTCTCTTCTATTGTTATATCCTCACACGAATAAACAAATGCTATCAGAACAGGCCACGCACTGGAATGGTAATCTCCAATTTAAATTACTGTAACACAGTCTATGTGTGGCTGCCCTTGAAAATGATAGGGAGGCTGACCTAATGCAGAAATGGAATGGCTAGATCGATGTCAAGAAGTCATTTATTTTAAAAGAAACTGCATAGAGCAGTGTTGTCCAAACTTGGCCACTTTAAGATGAGTAGACTTCAACTCCCAGAATTCCCCAGCCAGCCATAAAGTCCACCCAGCCATTCCCCAGCCAGCCATAAAGTCCACTCATCTTAAAGTGGCCAAGTTTGGACCACACTGGCATAGGATGTCAATAAGGCTCTGGTGCAGCTTGTAGGTCAGTGATAATGTTTGAAGCCCGAATAGTGGGGCCCTTCAGTATCTGCCAAGCATTCAGATCTGCTGCCTGCGACCAATTCAAGAAAGGGAGGAAAGCACAGGGCGCCAGTGCTGATGTCATTTTGTTGCCAGGTGACGTTCCAGCTATACCTTCAAAGTTTTTGCAGACAACAACTCATTATGCATTTCATTCTGTGCTTCTACGTTGGCTGTATCGTATCTTAAGATCCAGGTCAGTTTGTAAATGTTTTGATGAATAAGTGAGTAATCATGAGCAATTCCTTTCTCCCTTTGCATAGAGAAGAGAACCTGCTGAAGAAGGAAGCCGTCATTCCCCATCTTCTTCAACTGTCTTCTTCAAAGACAGTCCTTTGGCATTAGAGTTTCGAGACCATTCTTTGAGCTGATTACAGACTACGTGGCACTGAAGGAAGACAAGTGTATCCTAACTCTCAGGATAAGTGTGCTACAGGAAGGGTCCTCACCCAAGTTCAAATCCCTGTTGTAGCTTGATCAAGCTTCTGTGTAAATGCTTTACACTGTGCATTCTGTTACATATGCTAGACTTCTTACTTACAGACATTGAAGGAGAGTTCACCCAATAATTTTCATGGACTATTATTCTGCCATGAAAATACAAGTCTACCTTTGTTTTAAAACTGCTGCAAATCCTTTATGGGCCACTATACAGTAAACGGTGAATGGGTTGCATTTGGCTTAATGAGACACATACATTGTACAAACTACCCATGTCTGTCTGTCTGTCTAGCTAGCTAGCTAGTTAGCTAGCTAGCTAGCTATCATATGAACACACACACACACACACACACACACACATGTAATATTGCTGTTTTCAACATCAGGCAAAATGAAAATATTTTGGTCCTGCAGAGCAGAGTATAAAGGCCAGGCATGCTAATATTCAGGATGAGTTTAACAGGAAAGGAAAAGAGATTCTGTCCCCCAACAAGAGCAAAGGGAAAATTAGGAAAAGTTAATACAGCTCTTCAAAATAT